TTGGCAAGTTCTATCCCCAAAGGCTTAAAAAAACCCTACATTGCCACAGTATTGGAAAGAAGATTCTTTTGTGGACTGAGAGCTGCTAAAAAGATAGGAGGCAAAGATAGGGTTAAATGATCAGTTTTCAGGACAGAGGGAGGTCAAAGAGAGGACTTGCTAGGAATCTGTGCTGGACCTTATTTTGTTCATCATTTTCATTAATGACTTAAAAATGGGGGTGCAAATGATGCTAAATTAATCTAGGCAGCTAAATCCCAAACTGATGGAAAGGGGTTGCAGAAAGATCTTGCCAAGCTGTGGACAAAAAAAGGGTAGATGAACTTCAGTGTTGACAAGTGCAAGGTAATGCACCTGGGAAAAATACCCTCAACTATATGTTGCTAGGTTCTGAACAAGCTGTTACAACTCAGGAAAGAGACTTTGGAGTCATTGTAGATAATTCTCTAAAAACATCAGCTCAGTGTGCAGCAGCAACCAAAAGAGTCAATAAAATGTTAGGCATCATGAAGAATGAAATTAAAAACTAAATGCAGAACCTCAGCATGCCACTATACAAAACCATGGTGCACCCACACCTTGAATACTGTGCGCAGTTCTGGGCTCCACACCTCAAGAAGATTGTAGTAGAATTAGGAAAGATACAGAGAAGGGCAACCAAAATGATATCAGGGTGAAGCTCACGTACTGGCCAGATGTACCTTCCTTTTGATGACAGCTTTAGGAATGGTAGGTATAGTATAGAATTGTTTGCATTATTCTTAACTGTTATCACTGTGTATCAATAAAATTCACCTATTATCAAATGGAGAGGTCATGGTAGGTCTGAGGGTTTGCGTCCACCTGCAACAAGTTATCTGGGTCATACATCCAGTGCCAACACACTTTGCTTTTGTACTAAACTGGAATCAACTACATGCTACCACCCCTGACATGCAGACTTCTGGCCCATGAACTAGCATTTAGTGGTCTTTTCCCTTTACATTTTAATTCAAGCCTGGCCTACAATGTGCAGTTCTTTGAAGGTGCTAACATTTATTTTTGCAATAATTATACTGTTACTGGTCCTGCTTCTATCTGTTTATTTGTGTAAAAGAGATTTTTATTGAAGCTACCATTTCTTAACTTGCAAAAAAATATTTAAAGGTAATATATAGAATATATAGGAAAAACTAGAACCAAAAGCTACCATAATATAAGCAAGACAAAAAAAAAATCAGTGAAATGTGAAACATTCTCTTTATCAGATTTAACTGCCTTCATTCACAAATTGGAATAGTATTTGGTTTGTCACTTAGCTACCATTAGTTTTTCATCTCTCTGATGACTCTAAAAACAGCATAAAATCAAAATTCATGCTTTTTTTCCTACAGTCCAAAGAAAGTATTTATTGAGTAGTGTGCCATGAAAATGAAAGCAGTTTCAGCTTTCCAGTTTGAATCTAGTATGATTAAAAAGAATATGACAAACCCTAAAAAATATCTCATGGATTAGGGAAAAATACAAAAATAGCTAGAACTACTATGATGATTCATATTTTTGCTGAAGGGCTGTTTTGTTTCTGGTTTCAGATAATATTAGGTAGTCCAAATCTTGCATATTTTTTTACTCTTTCTTTTCTTCTCCTACTGACAGCGTCCAAAATAAATGCCACCTAAATAGATCTTGGAAAAAGTTTAAATTCATCCAGTTCTGTCATCCTTCCTACCACTAACTAATAACTCACTCAAATTCATTTTGAAATCAAGTTATTTATATGCACAACAGCTCTATCTATGAATATCAACAGGGTATTCACAAATGAAATTGTTATTCAGTCTTCCAATTTACCTCAAACACTTGGATACAAAAAAAGAAATATAATTAGGGGTATAAATGCAATCTAGATTTAGCAATCTTGGGTTTTATTTAGTATAAATGGGCTGGTTTCCTGGTCTCAAGACCTTAATACAACACCTTTCAGAACAGTTCAAAGTAAAGTTACAATGTGCAGAAATCAGATGACATTCTATTTTACAAAGTTCTATTTGTGTATCATTTTAAAACACAATGATCCACAACTTGAGCATGTATTTTGATAAGGACTTATGAGGAGCAGAGAGCATGTTGCTGAATTTCTTATACAAGTCTCTAGAGTGAAATAATTAAGGGCTTTTTGCAAGTAGAATTGCATCTATATTTAGATTTTTGCCAGGAGTTGTACTGGTGGAGGGAAAGGGGGGAGGGGCAGGGAGCAATTTTAGACCAACCCTGAGTCCGCCTAGGATTAAATACTAATACATCTCTGGAAATGGTGGCAAAATTCACAGACAACAAAGTTATTTAGGTTAGTTGAATCCAAGAAAGGATCATATTGAACTTTAGGGCCAGGTACAGAGATAACATTTTTAGTAACATAAGTGATCGGAAACTAGTCTATACCTGTAACAGAACAGAAGTTTGGCACGCATAAACTACTTTAAAAATGGTGGAACCTGGTCTAAGATTTGCCACCCCCGAAGGGTGAATTTGTGTTTTGTTCACTACCAATCTAAACTATGCCATGTACAGAAAACTGTATTACTTAGATGAATTCCACCTCAGGCTTTTTGAAAGTCTGTACCTAGCTTAGAGGTTTGTAACCAAGCTGGGGGAAAGGACATCACAATGTTCTGTGCTGATGAATGCGAAGTAATGGACACAGAGGGGGGAAAATGAATAACTTAAATGTCTCTCAGGGTTCTAAATTAATTGCACTGATTAAAATAATGTGATGCCATACATGAGAACCTCTACTTAGTACAGAGCTGTGGTAAAAAGACAAAGAAGTGTTAGGCTATGTGAAAAATACTAAATGATTATGAAAAATGTGATTATATCAGCTGAATTACCTCATTTATAATACTGTGAATACTAATATCCCATATGGATATTTTAGAATTTAAGGAAGCTCAGAGAAAATCAACAACACTGGTCAAAAGATAGGAAGAAAATAATATGAAATGATTAGAATGGTTTATCTGAGAAAGGACACAAAGAAGGGACATTATAAAGGTAAATAAAATAGTGCATAATCAAGAGAAGGAAAAATGTGAATTAATCTTCTTGCTTCATAAGACACCAGAAAGGAAGCCAGTCAATGAAATTTAAAAATAGATTTCAAACTGATTATTTTTTTTTTGCCCACACAATTCATAATTACGTTGTGGAACTCACTACCAGAGGCTTATATTAAGGTAAAGAATTTAGGGCAATCCAAAGAGGCATTTTGTGTATGTATTTGGGTATCAGGGAAAATAAACACACCAGCAGTGTTATAGTAAATGCTAAGAAAAAGATTTTGGAAAGGCTAGGCATTATGTTTTAGGGCTTAGGGAAATCTATACCTTTTAGAGAGCAGGATAATAACTTTATGGGGGAAGATTACTCTACATCTGCCAATTGTGAGGTGTTGTGCACCTTCCTCCAAAGCATCCAGCTGGCCACCTCTTAGGATACTGAATGAAATGGCCCACAAACCTTTTTAATATGGCAATTCCAATAATTCTTATCTACAGACATGAAGAGCTGGAAAACTTATCACTTATCTGGGTATTTGTTCCTAAGATTAAGCAGTCTCATGGTTAAAAAATCCTGCCATGTTTCCAGGTCAAATTTGTTTGGCTTGAGCTCTCCATCTTTGATTTTTCTTATGCTTTTGTTGTCCATTAGGTTAAAGAGTATTAAGTATTGTCCCCCAGTTAAGGGGATCACAGTACACTGTGCTCAAGTCCTCTTTCAATCTTCCTTTTGATAAGTTAAAATGAATACAGCCTTATCAAGGAATCACCTCCAGACCTTCCATATTTTTTGTGGCTTTTTTGTCTGCTTCCTCATTTCTTTTCCCCAACTCCTAAGAAATGTGAACTGAAGATAGTTTTCCAGTAATGGCCTAACAAGTGATATACAGGGAACGTCTACACATGCAGTGGACTATAAGCAAGTACTTGTACTATAAGCAAGTACTTGTAGTACTCGCTTAAGCAAGTACTACATGATTGTGCAGTAACCAGCACAGTCCCATCACTACACAGTTATTTTTAGCTGCTACTACACTGTAGCAATAAGTTATGGCACAGTAGCTCATTGCTATGGCGACGTAGATTCTGGTGTAGATGCACCCACCAAGAGTTTTAACATGACCTTGTCGTGTTCTATTATTTATGTATCCAAGAACCTCACTGGACCCTTTATTCCATAACATATTGGGAGCTCCTATTTACCCACTTGTCTCCTCTTTTTGGAAGCACTACTTCCCAGGATATTGTTTCCCCATTCTTAGGTACAAACTTTATTCCTTGTTTCAAGTTGTGTACCTTTTAGTCTGTGTTAAAATGCATTTTGTTTGATCTAGGAGCTTCCTAAGTGATCCAAATCACTCTATATGGTCTCCTTGCTCTCATCATTATTACCAATCCAATAAACTTAGTACCACAAATTTTATCAGCAGTGAATTTATGTATTTTTCCAGATCGTTGATAAAGGTGTTTAATACCATCAGGCTTAATTCCAGTTCTGTATAACTGCACTAGAAATAAAGCCATTTGAAGATCATTTCTTTTGGATGAATACTTTATTTGAGATACGGCCAGCTGGCCAATTTTTAACGTAGCTACTGTGTGATTATTTACTTTTTAGAGAGCTAATTTTTAATCAGAATGTCATGTCAAACATTTTACAACAGTCTAAGTATATTGCATCTATTCAGGTCCTGTTATCAGCTGGATTTTAATCACCTCAAATGAATGGAATCAGGTTTGTTTGAAAAGATGCATTCTCTATAATGCTATAGTAATGGGCATTAATTATATTCATATTCTTTAATTCTTTATTATCTGAAGCTTGAAACAGTTTTCAAATTGTCATTTCTGCATATGAATGTATATATTTTTAGGTTTGTTATGAAAAAATATTAATTACAAATTACAGTGGCAGGAGGAAAACATTCTTGTCTTCTGTCCCTTTTTTTTTTTCCATTTTAGGTGTAACAGTACTTGAAGGACCCATTTATGCAGTGGGGGGCCATGATGGTTGGAGCTATCTGAATACAGTTGAGAGGTGGGACCCACAAAGTCAACAGTGGACATTTGTGGCAAGTATGTCAACTGCCAGAAGCACTGTTGGAGTCGCAGCATTAAATGGCAAGTGAGTAGGGTAATCTTATATTGTTAACCCCTCCTATATTTTTCAATTAGATTAATAATATGGTTGTAAAATCATATACCATAATATAGCATGTTATTTAAGGTGAATGTACAGTCTTTTCTGTATGTTATACTGATGATAGATAACAAATCAAAATATTTTCTCTCCATTTTACTTTAAGCAATAAGTTCAGTATTGATGTTTAAGGACCTGAGTACACAGAGTTGAGATCCCCATGTGTACAAGACAATTTGATGAGATTTGTAAGGATATTTTCAAAGTGTTGTTTTGGATATGATGTCAGTCTCCTCATCTGCTCTATAGGTTTCCCTTGCTTTATGTGTGTTCTGTATGTGCATATTTAGTCTTATGCAATGACCCTTTTGTGGTTATGGAGAACTGGTCACAGTGGGCCGAGGGTATACGAACAGGTAGGATTAGCAGCAGTTGAGTCTGAGTGGCACACAGGCTGATGGTTACAACCAAAGTGGTTTATTTAACTTATGCTTTGATGGCTTAGGCACAGATGTTCTTCAGTTACAGTATAACAACAAAGGGGTCCGTTGGTCCACAGGGTTTTTGAGCCAAGCCCTTGCTATCTAGCCCAGAGGCTAGGGGCGACTGCCTGGCTCAATAGTCCTAGGACTGGTCAACGGCTCATGTATGGGACAGACAAACAATGGAACTGTAACAAAACTAAAGTCCAACGTGGATGAAAGTGGGTTGTGAGTGATGCCAAAGTCAATTGAAAACGGTGCCGAGGTCAATGCTGGAACGATGGGATGGATGGATGGTCGAGGATGAAAGCCGAGGTCGGAAGCTGTGGAATCAAGGTAAATTCGGTTTGAGAGTCCATTAATCAGTATCGAAGTCGTAGTCATAGCCGGTGCCAGTTAAATCGAAAGCCAGAAAATCAATGAGAACGAATCGGAAAAATCACTATAAGAGGAGACCGATAGGCCACAGAGCCTAACTGAGGGACAGTCCCTGAGAACCAGCCTCTGTCCTCAGTTCAGTGGGTCTCCCCCCAAGGGAGGGGCTTACCAACCTTTTATAAGAATTTAGTGGCCAATTAGAATGCTCCCTGCACAGAATATTCTGGTCTGATTACGTCAGGCAGTCAGAGAACTGAGCATGCGTCTGACTAGGCTTTGTATCTGACTGAGCATGTGCATGGTGGAAAAGTAGGTCATGCTTGATTGACAGGCCTTCGGGTCACCCAGGGGGCACATGCTGGGTAAGCCTTGGAATTTTCCACTCAAGGACTAAAGTGCGCATGCTAGCTTTGACTCTTCTGTGTTGTCAGCACCCATAACTTAAGATTTTTCCATGACACCTTTTTATATAAAAAATTCATTATATGCTAGGTAAATTCATTCTTCTGCAATCGGCGTGATGGAAGCACACAGTCAGCTGCTTTGTGTAGTGAATTGTGGGAGTGACTCACACCAAAACATAGTCTTCTGTGTGGATCTGTGCTTCTTGCTCGATGTCTGCGACACGTGGTTTTGTAGTTGCCATCCCCATTACAGTAACGTCCACACCACCCTGTGCTTGTGTGTACTGTCTACTGTTGGTGACCACCAAAATTGTCTTGTAGAAGTGGTAAAAATGGGTCAGGAGGTCAGTACAGGTGAGGTCTTGGAATGTATCCCTGTTTGTTAAATTGCAAAATGGGTTCCCTTTTTGTAAATTTGAGTTATGTGCCATTTTTCAGGAACTCATGTACAGCATAAAGCAAGGGAAACCTATATATTGTAGGTATCATTTCTCTTCTGCAGACTCAACTCCTAGAGTTGCCTCTCTGGGCCCCTCTACATGTGCAGGTAAAGGTGCAATGAAATCTGCCATGCTATACGTGCATGAAAGGAGATATGATTGTAGGATTGTGCATTAGATCCCATTGCATCTTATTGCCAGTGCAGGGGCAGACTGATCTCCCAGCTATGGTGGTACTCCACTGGCATCTCCTAGCCCCGGGGGTGTGTTGGGCTGTCCTGCAGCTGCAGACACTGGGTCCTGGCAGTACCCCATAGTACTGTGACCCAGACTCCACAGCTGCCGGGGATGAGACTCACCTCAGCTGCAGGACTCCCAGTTCCAGATGTGCATGGTGCACCCTGGCATCTGGGAGCCCATTCAGGTAATGGGGCTCCCAGCCACAGAGACAGACCCTGTTACATGTGGAAATTAAAGCTGGATGTCAACCAGCTATAAAATTAGTACACGTTTTCAAGGTCTAACTTTATAGGTCATTGGACCTTTTTATGGCTTGAAAAATACTTTGCACATGTAGCTGTTCTCAGTTAATTGAACAATTAACCGGTTAATTACATAGTAACTGTAACATGCAGAGGGGACCTCTGACAATGGGACTTGCTGTTTAGGTATTCTGAATGTTAGTGTAATAAAAAATTAAAGCATCTGGCCTTTGTTGTCTGAAGGCAGCATTTCCAGAAAATGAAATAAATGGAAACCTGCCTCTGGCCAGTCAGAGCTAAACTAAACGTGATTCATGGGCAAAATTAAGTTTTCTCATTCTGAGTATCTCTTCCTTTTGAATATTTGTGTCATTCTTGATTATACAACTATATGGTAATTAAGAGCTGAGTGAATGCTATTATATGTTATTTATGGTTAGTTGCTAATAATTCACTTGTTTACAAAGTTTCAGACCTTTAGCCACAAAGCAAAAAACATTCTTTGAAATACGAATAATAGGATATTAAATACACACCATAGTGAATAATGGAAAAATATTCTTAGCTGGAGAACAATTTATCCAACCAATTTAGTAAATACTTAAATATCTGAAAGACCAAGGAAAAAGGCAGGGTTTTTTCTACTTTATGTTTTAGTAATAAACGAGCAAGAACACTATTAAAAAGACCTTTTTGACATTTTTAAAATAAATTTATACACTTTATTGTTTGTATTTGAGGCATTTTGGTAGCCATATTTCATTATGGTGGAACATTCATTGTGGAGGATTCAGTGTAGCTTTTGCATTCTTAAAGTGCTGGATTTCTGATGAAATAAGCATGGCTGTCCTACTTTGTCATGGGTGGGAGCCACATGTGATGCTGGGCCACATTCCACACAGAATGCATGCTGCAGGAACAACTGGTGGGATCTTCCCCACTGTGCAGGCTATGGCAGCACATTGTGGTTTGCCTACCCCCCACCATGCAGACACATGGCCCTCCTGCCATTCAAAAGGCTTGCAGACCCCTGGGCTCTAACTTTCTGGGTGCATCTACAGGAGATGTTTGCTGAGCAGTAGACTACTTGGCTGCACAGTAAACATCACACATCTAAAACTTCTCTCCTACTAGGCTGAAGTAAATTATTTAACTCCATAGCAGGAGGCTACTTGAAAATACTTGTGAAAATGAAGTTTTTTACTCTGCTTCAGTGCATGTGTAGATGCTGCCCTGGATGGATGGGGCACAATGGTGCTTCATTGTGGGGGATGCCTGCTGGCTAGCCCCACAGTGAAGCACCGTTGTGCCACAACCAGTCCTTCCATAGCACATTGAGCCAGGGGGAGCAGCTCTGGGCTGGCAGGCTGACCCCCCCAGGCTGATTCGCAGTCCCTGCCATGTATAGCTGGTCTGACCTGGCTCAATGAGCTGTCATCTCAGACACACATGCAGATGGTACACCCGGGAGCAATAAACTCTGGAGCAATAAGCAATAAGCTCTGGAGTTTATTCATGTGTATTAATATGCACATGTAGATATCCCTGCCATGTGGCAGTGAGTGAGGCAGCTTCTGGGGCTTAAGGGCCATATACTTGACCCTCATATACTGCATGTAGTCCATGTACTGTTAGTTGGATATCCCAGAGATAAAGTGAAATAAAAAGTTATGAGATGGGGAAGTGGATATTCATTACCTTTGTGCTATTGGTTGCCACATGTTTTTGTGGTCCACCAGGCTGTCTGACCTAGTGGCCAGAGCCAGAAGTGACACTGGGGATTATATGGTGGGGTCATGGTCAGAACCAAGATTCAGGAACCAAATGCTAAGTCAGAGTCAGGATTTGGGAATCAGAAGCCTAGTTTCCAAATTTGAGGGACACAGGGTGAGGTCCACAAACAGCCAAATCAAGGTAAGGAATCAGAAAAAGAAATCCATAGGGAAATCAAAGGCTAAAATCCAGGAACAAGCCAAATTAAGGTCAGGACCCTGAGCAGCCAAAGACATTACCAGCACAGGAGCTGCTCTAAAACTAGAGACAAGCAGTTTGTGCAGCAAGGTTCAAGTGCAGGAGGAGTTCCTTAAAAGCAGCCCCAGAACCAGGGTGAGGGTCAGCTGGCCTTGAGTAGCTATTAATAGGGCTGTGCAAAGCTTTGGTCCCTGATTCAATTTGGAGAAGAACTGGCCTGATTTGGTGGTCAAATCTCCAAATCTGAATTGAATTAGGACACCCTTTAATCTGTCTGAATCAAATCGGAACCCTCTGAATTGATTCAGAGAGATTCATTGATTTGGATATAGACACAGCTTCAAATTTTTTTCTACATACCTGAAGGTATCAGGCAGCTTGTGAATGCTGAGATGTTAGGGTGGATGAAACATCCCACAGGAGCTCTTCTGGTCCACTTCTGGGTCTGCTGGGAAGCATGCTGCCCTCCCAGCTCAGCGACTGGTGCCTCCTGGGTATGGGGGGGCACCTGGGGACCCCCGTGTCTGACTGCTGAGCTGTGGGGGTGTGGTCGGGGGGGGGGAGCCTGTGCACTTGGTGACAGACCTGGAGTTTTCAGAGATGGAAATAGGACCTGTATTTTCAGTATCTGTTAAACATGTGCCCTCTGAAAATCAGCCCTCAGCTGGTGTCCCAAGAAAACTGAAATACAACTGATCACTTACAAATTTGCTGGGTTAAAGTTATAAAAAATTAAGCATGGATAAGATTACTTCGGAATAGGATTAAATAGGAAGAAAAAGGGAAAATGGTGTTCTAAAGAAAATTGTGCAGTGTTGGGGAAAGAGA